TTATTAGCTTAATATATTTTATCTGAGGTTTGTTGATGAAGTTTGGGTATCTATGTATGGTTACTATTGCAAAAGTATCTGTTAGATAATATTAAAGAACTTGTCTTTTTCTGACTATTAACATTAAAAAATTATATTAAATACTCTTTGGTATAGTTTTTGTTAAATTATGTTTAAAACACTTAATATTTCATAACAAATAGTCACAGTTCAACGACTGATGATCTACGCTATCTAAAGATATAGATACTTTCTATTTTGTTTGTTGCGGTTGCTAGATGATATCTTGTCTGACTTTTTGCCAGAGACTGGGTCAACAACATGTCAAGTGCATGGCCTGGGAATGACTGAGGGAGGAAATAAAAAAGTCAAGCAGCCAGAGAAGGGGGTGTTGTATCTAGTAGATACTCCCTCCCAAGTCTTTGTGTTTTGCTTGTGTATTTTCTTTGTCTGTTGTGATAGCAGGGGAGGCGTTCGATAAGCAAACAATATACACACAACAAACAACAAAGAGCGGAGATTGGGACAGGGCGAGGGATTCGGAGAATAAGGAAGAGAACATCAGGGAGTTGTGAATGCGACTCTCTTGACTCTCCCGACTCTCTTGCATTTCCCGCTTGGGATTCTCTGTTTTGCTTGCCTCATTCTCGCTTCATTGGGGGACATTGATCCCATTTCCCCAGTCCCCATTTTCCGCATTTTCCTCAACCCTGTGAACCCTTTCGACACCGCCTCCTGTTATGTGTGTCACTTCCGCGTGCAGCGGATGTCTCTCAAAACGGCACACGCCAAGTTGCCCCGGGTCCCAAATCGCACCTCTGCCCCAAACCCTTCCCCCTTTTTTGTTACACATTTTTTGCAGCATTTAACATTTTCCCAACCAATTGCAAATTTCTTTGGTACATATAACAGCTCGAATTTGTCTGAGAAAAGTGTTGAAGAGAATTTCAAGTGGTCTTCATTTTTCGCACTTCTAATTCTGGATTTATTGACCAATACTATTTTTGCAAGTAAACTTTAAGTAAAAATCTTAAATACAATATTATTTCCCTGTGCATATAGATGACAGCAATAGCTGCTCCCTACCCATTTTTCTCCAAACTTGACCTGGAAGACAATAAAAATGGAATCAAATTCCAGAATGACATCAGACATCAAACAAAGCCAAAGCATTTTCACACGACCATGGCCAAGAACCCTATTCTTGGCTCTAATTGGACGGGTAGTAAAACAAGATACGACACTAAAAGCAGCCATGACACTGCCAAAGATAGGAAGTTACTCTTCCTAGAGACATGTGTGAACTGTGAAATATTTTAGCCTTTAAGGAATTTATAACTCGACTGACCTTGATTTTTGTTTGAGGTCCTTCCGGGATGAGCTCATAGAAGGTCGAAAGAGTGAGTGGGTCAGAGATTGGGACAAAAAAGGAAAAAGGTTTTGTGGCGAAAACATGAAAATGCCAACAAAAAAGCTTAGGCCAGGATTTAGCAGGAAACATGGTTGGGAATAAATAAAATATTCAAACCAAATATGTTGTGGAATTCATACAAATGTTACAATAAACCAAAAAGTAATTTGTGGGGCTTAGCAGGAAAAATAAGATATGAAATATCAATGTTTACATAAAAAACCTTTAAATATTTAAAATGTTATTATTAAGGGAAAGAAAGTAAGAAGTAAATAGGAAAAGTATAACTTTATTATACCCATAAACATTGCTCAACTCACCATGAATGCTGTATTTCTCAGATATTTAACTTTTGGCAATACAAAGATCATAAAAAAATATCAAGAACCCCCAATAAACTTGGCTAACAGCGAAAGCAAACAATGTGGCCAAAAAGTATACACACACAATGCAAAACTCGGGGTATTAAAATCACACTTAATTCGAAAAGAAAAAAACCTTGTGATTAATACATATTTAAGTTCACATTTGAGTGATCATAAAAATCTTGGCGTAAGGGTGTCAAACGAAATTCGTTTGATCATAAAGCCATCAAGTAAATAAGACTCGGTCTGTATATCACTATATGTGACACGAATCCAGACCGATAAGACTGTTTTTTGCCAATTAAAAGGAAACCGAAAATAATGTGGAGTGGGCCCTCGAGTGGCTAAAGTGACGCTTTGACTGGCTACGCGGCCTCGATAAGAATCGAAAATTTATCAACAAGAGTTAGGTTTATTAAACAATTTAGTTGTCAGGGCGGCTCGAGTGGGTGTGCGATAAGAGCGGACCCTGAAAAATAAGACCAAATCTTGCCCATGACGTTCCATTGACGATGATTAATTCGGTTTTCTTTTTTCAAGTGCAGTTCCAGAGGAAAAAAACAAGATTAAATTAAAACGTGTCAGCAAAATTGACGTCAAAATCGGTTAAAATAAGAAGAAAGCGTGATTTCATTTTTGGGCGTAGCCTGATCCGAATCTTGGTTGATTTAACTAATATTTTGGCCTTGTCAATGGGAGCGATATAAACCCGCTTTTACCTCAAATCATCTCTTGATTCATTCAGTTAGGCTGAATATTATCGTGCTAATTGTTATTAATTGTGGCTAAGGCAGGAAAATAGATTTATTAACAAAGACATCCGAATCGAATCGATCGGCCAGACTCAGTTTGCGTCAACTCGATTCAGCAGAATTCGCTTTCGGATCTTAACAAACAGGCAAATAAAAAACAGAAAATAATTATTTCGGATGTATTTTGATGCCACTTTCAGTATATATTTTTGTTGTTTTTTGCTGCCACTTTTGTTTTGGCAGACACAGGAGATTTTAACAAATTTTGGGAAAAGAGAATATTAAATCAAAGAAATTCCCCTTTATCATTGAATAACAAACAAACATCTCGCTACGAGTGTCGCCACGAAACCTGAACCTGTACCGATTGCCTCTTACCGGTTCTAACCGGTACGATTTGCCTTGCATTTGCTTTTGTAGACATTTTGTTACCACATTTCCACTACCAACAAACCTGGCCAACATCTACAGCAGCATCAAAAACATTAGCATCCACAACAAGTCACTTGCAAATCAAATTAAAATAATTTCTAGTTTTACAGACACGCAAAAGTCTTTTTCTCCCTTATTCGTTTGAGTTTTATTTGTTTTTGATGCGTTTTGTTTTGCTTTTGGTTTTTGCCAGAGAACAACAGTTTAGTTTTCTCGGTTACTGCATAAATTGAATATTAATTAGAATTTTATGGGTCTGTGGAGTGGGAGGCATCTTCAAAGACGCCACAAACATTTTGAGGCCAAACACGTTTTGAAAATCGTACTTGAAAACCGAGTAACATGCTTTGTAAACGTGAAGTAAAATAAATGCAACTTATTCTTAGTAATTTAACCTATCAAAACTTAGTTTATAATCATAAATTGCTTATGAAAATATTTAGGAAATAAGGTAATTGATAAGCATAGTCATATTAATAAAATGAAATGAATCGGGGAGTATACATCATGTAATAAATTTAAACCTTTTTCAAAATGCGCTATAAAATCTATTATTTATCGAATAAATGTTATATTATATTAATAAAAATATAAACAGGTTATAACTTTTTTTTCTAATTAAGATACACAAATTAATTAACTTAAAAATTTTGCTTAAAAAAAAGAAATACTCATTTATAGTTTCTAAAAGAAATATTAAAGGCAAAGTATTATAAACATAAAAATAATACATAGTTTAAATATATAATTATCTTTTTATTTATAAACTATTTATTTTAGAGCAATCATTTCACTTCTTAATAATCCTAAGCTGAGATAAACAAAAAAGTGTTCGACTGCCATTCAAATTTCAGACATTTGCTACTTTTTAACTACAATAAAAAATAAATATATATTTTTTGGTTTGTTTGACTTCCAGGCCCTACATTCATTTTTTCAAGGGCTCCCCCACAAATATAACGTATTTCTGTTTGTTTATTGTTGTTTATTTTCGTCATCGAGAAAAGCGTGGACAAAACAAAAGAAAAACTATATATATATCATAAAAAACCATACACATATGTATGTATATATGATACTCATATAACCACGAGGTGGAATGTGTTTTGATAAAAAAATTTGTTTGTGGATATTCATTAGTCAACAAAACAATAGCCCAGACATACCGCCAAAAGTCAAAAGCAAAAAAAAAACACATGTATATCAGAAAGCCAGCAAATTATGATTAACCAAAAGTGGCAAAGAGAACACTTGTTTGATTTGACTTAATGCCAGTTAAATGCCTGTCAAAACGCCACAAACGAATATATATGACTTTGGCATCGAGTGCTTCTAACCGGATTTGTCTATATAAATATATGGCCAGCTATCGCTGGATCTTGTAACGGACCATTAAAATGCACTTTCAGTTAGGTAAACATTTTTTTTTTAACCCCCCACTACACGACTTTTATTTGATAACAGACCCCGGCGATAAGAAAGCCCATTGGAGGCGAAGCCATCGATAAGTTTAAGTAGGCAAAAATTGGCATTTAAAAACACATTTTGTAAAGTTGTCGCTCTGAGGGGACTCTCTGACAAAGTCTCTCCAAGAATTTGTTTCCTAATTATACAGAGAAAGAATTATGGAATTTGAAAGAGTTAATAATTTTAAAATTTTAAAGGACATTGTACAACAAAAAATATACAATTTAAATAGAGAACATGAAATTTTTGTTTTATAAAATAAATAAAATATTTACAACCAAAATAGGTTTTTTAAAATGAAATATGCAATCATATCTTTCAAAAAATAATAATAATATTCTAGACAAAATTGTTTCTTTAAATATATAGATTGTACAGCTCATATTGATTAATTTGTTGCTCAATTTTATTTCCCTATAAATGTGACCCTCTCCAGCAATTTCTCTCAGTGCAGCTGCTGGCGATTAACGCCTACAGCGACGCCGGCAGAATTTGGAATCGGCAGCAGAGGGTTAAGCGAGCGCAGCTGCTTCAGTTTGAAGATCGGCAGAGTTTAGTTAGTCTGCAATCGCCGGGGCTCGCAGTCGAGTCGTCGGGTCGCGTTGCATAAATATTTAAGAAACAAATAATAATAGAAATACGGAAAAAACCCCGAAACCCCGAATAATAACTCTACCGAATCGGAGATCCAAACAGATTAGAATCAAATAATAAAACGGAACAACACAACGTTCACTTTTTATTGTTTCCCCAATATTTGCTTTTCGGTTTTTAATCTCAAGGTGCGTGTGTGAATTTTTCGGCACAAACAGAAAGGAAAAAATTAAAGCTCCCGTTCTTTCCGATCGCTATTCTCGGCGATAAGGTGATGGCCAAAAATAATGAATACATAGAATTGTAAGTAATCGCCTTCAGACTGTGATTCATAAGCGTTGATTGCTGAAAAAGTGTCACAGGAAAAAACAGCACGGGAGTTATCGGGGGTCCAAAGTTTAAGTCGCACTTTTGCAGCCAGGCTTATCACAACAAGTGTGTCTCTGAAAAATTAATATTATTCAGAGTTTTATCTGAACGGGACAAGGGTAGGAGAAAAATCGGAGACCGGAAAGGTATAACAGAATTTGTGAATGACCTACTAATGTAATTATTAACAGCAGAAAATTATTGGATTCTATTTAAATTGTATTCAAAGAGAGTTAAAAAAAAATATACGTTTAAATAATAATTATAAAATATTTTGAGATGTTTCTTAAAAAAAACTAAGTTATTTGTGTTGTTTTATTAATTGTTAGGCTAAAATTGCGATACAAAACCTTCAATACAATTTCAAACCGTCTGTTCATTTACAAAGAAACAAGACAATTAAATGCATAAAATTGTTTGTTTCAAATAATAATAGTATTTTAAAGATTATATTTATATACATTTATTATAAAAGTATATAATAATGAGTATACCTTCTTGTTTTAATATTACAAGAATCAAAGCAACTAAGGAAATAATTACTAAATAAATGAATGAAATGAATTACTAAATAATTGGAAAATGAATTTTAATTTTTATATATTATATAAATATCCCTTACTAAATCTTCTAACCCTTATCCATGGAGAAGAGTACTTCAACTATTACCATAAATAAATTATTAAAAAAAACAACAAAAAAAACAATAGATATAGTATTAGCCAAATAACTGAGATCCGTTGGTTCTGGGCCCAATCCACCTCTTTCTTTGCTTTAGCACCGCCACAACGTTTAATTAAACAAAGCCAAGTGCAAATTGTCTAGAAATTTGTTACCCTGTTGACACAGTATATAACATCGTCAATTAAGTTAATATCGGCCCCAAATTATGTTTATTGTTGTGACTCAGGTGTTGATAAGGCAATCAAAATGCAGGAGGCAGGTGGAAAGATAGAGAGGAAGAGGAGCGTATAATTATTATTTATAGTGAGAAAACCCTGGCTAGACCCAGTTTAGACCGGCATTGGCAGACAATCTGGAAGTGTTCCTCTGACCATTCGACTGTCAGTTTGTCTTTTCTATAAGTCTATATATTCAAGCACCGCTATATAGATTAAACACTTCTCGGACTGATAAGACGCCGCACAACGACATCAAGTCAAGATGATAGACTATATAGAAATAAACCTTTATGCAATGCAAATTTTTCCACCATAATGCTGTCTGATCTGGGAATTAACTAAAAATTAGCAGGTTCGTGTAAACAATAAAGTTGACAACAAGAAATTTCTGTTTTAGACAGTGTCTATAAATAATATTTACTTTAATTCAGAGATTTGAGTCAAATATTAATGTAAGAGATTTATAAATAAATAAATATTTATTTTCATGAACAAACTAAGCTAAGCTTAGGCTATAATTGAGCTTGATTTATTTTTAACTGACAGACCAAATAAATTACCTGTGACTAATACGAGTCAGAACTTCAATAATATATGAACTATAAATTATTTAAAAATATATATCAATAAATTAACCATTTTTTAATTTTTCAGCAAATTTGTTGCTCAATGCTATGTGCTCGTAAATATAAAAATAAATAAACTTTGTAAATAATCTTTGAAAAAGGTCATTAACTGTATCAAGTTTAGTAGTTATTAAGTTTTTTCTTAAACAACAAAAAACATCCAAGAACCGCATTTATATATTTAATTCCCATTTGAAAAATATTAGTACTTATAAATGTAATACTAATAAACCCTTATACAAAATATAAACCTTTATAAATTACAACAAATTAAACAATTACCACACCCCAGATTAGATCACAATCACATACTACGCTCTCTTATCAAAACACGTCGCACAAATTAAATAGCAATTCCATTACAAAGCAGTAAAGAAAACTAAAACAAATGCAAACAGAGTATAAACAATAAATACTAATGAATTCATTGGCAATAAACGCTAGCCAAATAGTCGTAAATTTAAAACCATATTCATTTGGCAATTAAGAACCTGCAGCACGTGTATGAAGCCGCAGCGATTCAGTGACTATGTTTATATAAAAAGCCGAAAATATTGTACTATTGAAAAGCGCATGAAAAATTAATAATTTGCATGAATTGAAAACGAAAATTGAAACGTTTTAGCAGACGAATAATTTCCAGACTGGGGGGTGAAATGCAGCTTAAACACTCCTCGTTTGTGGGTGAATATTTTTTCCTATGGGCATGACAAGTGTTTCGAATGGGTGTAATGACTATGACAGTACTCTGTCACCGCCCCCGCCTCTGTCCCTGCCCCTGAAACTGTGACAATGAGGCTGGTAATGACACTCGATGCGAAATCATTGACGTTTTGCCAGCGTTTTCTTTTATTTTTACTCTTTGATGGGGCTTAGGGGAAACTTAAGCCAAAATATATTAAGTAGTTAAATACAGTGGGTCTTTAATTTATTGATGATTATTTTAATATAAAAATGCTCCTTTATAATAAATACCAATTCATTATCAAATTTCAATTCCGATTTCTTAGAATTTTATAGAAAAACAAGAAGTAAAAGGTTTAAATTAAATAATACCTTTGGAAAATAAAACCAGATCGTGGAGAATGTTGATTGAATTACAATTTTTGAAGTTATGTATCTTTTATCATTTCTTAACAAAATTACAGTTCTGGGTTTCTTTTAAATATATTTCAAACTAACATGAAACCTTCGACTTGTTTTGAATAAATTTTTGAGCCAAGAATTACTTATATGATTCTGATTTATAATTCTTTGATTTGGTATACTTTTGAAGACAATAATTTATTTAGAATTTATTTAATCATAAATAATTTTCAGAATAATAAAATCATTTTAATTTATAGAGTATTTATTCTCCCCCATTGAATCCCACAACTTGGCTTAATTTAAGTCGATTTTTGTACTCATCTCTGAGTTATATTTGTCTGGCCATTCGCATGACATGGATTTGTATGTTTTTCAGTTGATATAGCAAAAGCGCATTTCAATTAGGCGATTGACAACGCATTTGCATAGACAACTGAGGTCCAAATATAGAGAATATAATATAGCAAAACTGATTCGGGCTTAACTTATTGAGGGCCAAACACTTGGCCCTGATAAGACAAAAACAAATAGCGTAATGAAGATTGTTGTAATGCAGTTTAATTAGAGCTTTATAATCAGACTGCCTTGTTCTATTTTTTACGACCCTTTTGCCAATATTCAATTATCCCTTAACAACATATTAAATTTCGTTTTATCCTTTTTGCAGACCCTGGACCATGAACTCCTCAAGTGGTGACGATGAGGCGCCAAAGGATCCGCGCACTGGCGGCGAGGACTTTACGCAGCAATTTACAGAAAACGATTTCGAGGGTGAGTTGAGAGTTACTAAAATGGAATATAATATTTTTTAATTGCTCGCTGAATATTGATAAGTAAAAAACCTGAATGAAAACCGAACCAAAAAAAATTAGATCCAAAATTAAAAGCGGACTTGTAAAACCAGCCAAGTGACAAGTTCGATAGACCCAAAAAACAAGATATTTGCGTTGTGCTAATTGCAAGTTGGCAGCGATTTTGACACGAGGCCAAGATGGACAACGAATTCTTTTTGGGGGAAATCAAATTTTAAGGGAAAGAAAAACCCGATTGAACTGGATATTTAAAGTCTAGCAAGAAGGTCGTACTAATTAGTTAATCTGTGCATTCAACTGCTATTGTTTAAATTACTTCCTAAGCCTCATTTTACATGTGTTTCGGTGGCGGTGATTCATATGCTTTACTTTATGGCTTAAATAATTAATTCTAATACTTGTAATATATATATAAATAAAATAACACCTTGTGCCGGCTTCCCTTTCAAGTGATCTCTACTGTACTGGTTTATAAGGAAAAAATGCATAAAACAACAAACAAAACGCCCACCAATTTACTTGCAAGACCTAATCGCGTGACTTGGCGAAAAGTGTGTAAATATTTCATTTATAAGATGTGCTCTGTATAATTAATTTAAATTTATGAAAAACTACTGATGCGAGCAAGTAACAGATGATATCACAATTAGTCAACTGACAGAGAGCGCAAGTTGAACAAAGCCTTTTGAAAATTAAAACTACAAAGTACCTCAGAAGCGGATATTCAATTCAGAGAAAATAATAATTAACATAAATTTATTTGTAGTTAAAAAAATAAGGTTGAGAATAGAAACGAAACTTGAGATTGAGTCTACTTTTGATTTGTAGATGATTCAACGTTGCGTATACGTAATTTATATAGTCTATGGTTTGGAAATAAGTAAAACTGAGGACTGACAAGAGTTATATATAGGTCTTATCACCAAAAGTAAGCGCAATTAAATGTGAACTTTAAACCTTGATTATAAACGAAAGTGTTGTCGTAAGGAAATACGTTTTGAAATATCAAAAATCAAGTGTGTTTCTGGAATCTTTTATTTTATATTCAAATTATATTTGTTAAACTATACAGAAATTGTTAGAAGTGTATAGAAGTAAAATTAAGCATTTAAAGTGTTATTAATTCTCAAAACAAAGCTATAAATATTTTATTACCGTTAAAGCCACTATAATTATTTTGTATTGACCGGTTAAATAAAATAGTCAACTGCATTGTGATTCATTGAGCTTCAAAATAGTCGAAATAACTCATAAGTTTATGAGCTACAAATGTTATTTAACTAAGTCGTCATATATAAGCAAAGGCCCTTGACGTTTAGAGACTTAATTATGGAAGTGTACTATTTTTAAATTTAGGGTAACGATACTAAATTGTAATAGTAGACAACAAAGGGCTAAGTTTATATAAATTATTACAACAAAAATATGTCAAGTTTTAGACAACGTGGCACTGTAATTTTATAAATATTTATATATCTACTAAAATTATAACTACAAAACCAAGAATTTTTTACATTTCGAAATATAATTTAATAACTTTCTTAAAGAAAACTCTTAAAGAATATCTAAAGATTTCAAGAACACTCAATAAATAGAACAAATTAAGACGGAAAGAAAACATTTTAAGCTAACGAAATTAGGTAACTCAATTGCAATTAATAAACAAAGTCGCACTCTATTTGGTCTCCCCTCTCTCTCCCTACGCCCCTGTGTGTCCCTCTGACTTTATCCCACATTTTTCCTGCAGGACATCGGGCACACACCGTTTATGTGGGTGTCCATGTGCCAGGAGGACGTCGCCACTCGCAGCGACGGCGTAAGCATCATCACAGTGGTCCTGGCGGTGGTGGAGGAGGAGGTGGTGGTGGTGGCTCCATCGGCGGATCCGGAAGTGTGGGCGGTGGTGCCGGCAAGGACAACACCAGCGAGAAGCAACAGGAAGTGGAGCGACCAGGTGGGTCCAGGTATCCCTCTACCCCCGACTTCCCCTCCCTAAAGTGTGTGTGTAATGATGGCGATGTAAAGGCTCCAGGCCAGAATGAAATACCAGTAAATGTGGCCAAATGACAGTGGGGGAAAACTTTCACAAATTACAGTCCTCACTCACTCGGGAGGATAATGAAAATGACAGCTGATTGGCTTACAGTTCGCCATCAAGAAGTTCTGATTGTAATGAGAGAAAACAGCCTTAATGGTTGACATTGAATCGGAATGATGCAATTATCCTGAGACAAAAATTGAGCTAATTTTAAGGGAAAGGAAGCCTAGTAAATACAGCATATAATAAGGCTTTAATTTATGGTTGTTTATTGCTATCTATACGCACCAAACTCTCGTGAAACCCATTTATTTTTAATATTTATTTAAGACTACTAACCTAATTTATTAGTAACCTGTATAACCTGTAACAACCTGCTTAACTGCTTTTCATATGTGCATCCTCTTAATCAACCTTTCTTAAGACTTATTTACAATTACAGCACTTCATAACTAACCTATCCATTTGTATGCGTCCAATAAATATTACCTCATTTGATTTTAGTTATTAGTTTGATGTTATTTATCAGTAATGTTATTTAGAAATATGTCTTAAGTTAAATTGTACTTCTAAGCCCTAGTAATGCATATAATTTAACCTTTTCACACTTTTTAACTCAAGACAAATCCATCTTCAATCCTAATTCCACCTTAATTAATTTTGCAATTTGTACTCATTATAAAACCTAAGCTTAAACGTAGCTCAACATCCGCATTATAAATTGAAATTTATCACCTCACTTAGCCAAACATTGTTAAGACACTTTCACACATTTCAAACGTTTTAGCTTGCATAAACATATGTGCATCCTTATCCTTTGGTAGTATAGTATATAGAGTGCTAGAACGTCACGCAATCCTGCCATGAACCACAAAACACACTCGGAGAGGTCCTAAGCAGGACATATGGTGGCGGTCAATGGTCAGTAGCAAATTCCCAGCACAGATCAGGGCCAAATTATTACGCCAATTAACTTTAGCACGCATTCGCCAGAGACCAAGGATACAAGGATGATTGTTATGAACGGGGTGGCAATGCCAGGAAGATGTTTGCCGGGCGAGAGACCCAGCTCATAAATGTTGATTAAGCTAATGAAGGTCTGACCACTGAGGGAAAAACACCAAAGCTTTTTATTTATTTTTTGTATAAAAAAATATGTAGTTATTTGGCTTAAGTTTCTTTTTTGGTAACTTTAGACGTTCTACAATACATTTTTGATGTAGACTTTGCAATGAACTTTAAATACCCAAAACCCTTTTGAAATACATTTATTTTGATTCCAAATTGCATTTTCAAAATCTGATTTTTCTAATAATAAATCCCTCACCTTACAGTAACTCCTCCAGCCCAGCGAGTACAGTTTATTCTCGGTGAAGATGTCAACGATGGCACACATGTCTCCCATCCCCTGTTCTCCGAAATGGGGATGCTGGTCAAGGAGGGTGATGAGATCGAATGGAAGGAGACAGCCCGATGGATTAAGTTCGAGGAGGATGTGGAGGAGGGTGGCAATCGATGGTCAAAGCCCCATGTGGCCACACTCTCGCTGCACTCGCTCTTCGAGCTGCGCCGCCTGCTGGTCAATGGAAGTGTGATGCTGGACATGGAAGCGGATAATCTAGAGGTGATGGCCGATTTGGTCTGTGACCAGATGGTCAGTGCGGGAACTCTCCCACCAGGGTCAAGGATCGGGTAAAGGATGCCCTCCTGCGACGCCATCGGCATCAGCACGAATATGCCAAGAAGACGCGACTACCGATCATCAGATCCTTGGCCGATATGCGCAATCAGTCGTCATCGAAAAGTGAGTATGGGAGTAGAGTCATATGTCATCACAAAAGTTAGGTTACTCTAAGCTCATCTCGTTCGTTTGGTGTGAGTCTGTGAATCATCTGCGAGTCTACTGCCGCCACATCATTTAAATCAGCTCAGATCAGATCAGCTCAACTCATTTAGGATCATTGTCAGTGTCAAAAGTGTCTAAAACTCTCATCCAATCCGAAATAATACTAATAACTCAGACCTGGGCAAGAGCAGTCCACTGCACTCACTGCATGGCTCATCGACTGGCCTGGATCCCACTGGAGGTCACCACCAGACATCATCCCTCTACGTGTCGAGTAAGGATCAGCGTGGTTGTTATCTCGCTGTTCCCACAGGTATAGCCTTAGAACTAGAAAACTAAATCCAATGCCACTCTCTTCCCAGAGATTTCTGTAAAGCTGAAGACCAAAGTCGTATATACCTTTTCAGTTGCCATTGCACCCAACAAAAATGCACCCAGAACCAATAACCAAGAAGCTAACTAGAGTTTATATTAATGAGAAGTCAAAATCCCCTTCAATGATCTAACGAAAAATTAAAATTCCACAAAACATCGGCCTGAGAATCATCTCATTCCTTAGAGAGCACCCTGAACACCAATTAATCATTCATAAATCACTCACAACCATTAGTTAGTAAAACGGTATCAAAATGGGGTTTTATAAAACCAGTGTTGAGCAATTCTAACCCTTGATTAAATCCGCTCTTGCGCTCTTCGTTCCCTCAAAAAACATTAAAGCTGACGCATCTTCGCACCTAGGGGCCATCGGTGTCACCACCTGGTTCCATGCCGGGGCCTCGCCCCAGCACCAGAGCCATCAAGGACGATCGCAATCACAATCAATGCCAAGTAATAGCCCATCATCAATGGTTTCTACTGTACTTTGAAGTTCCATTTCAAAAGCACGCTGTGTTTATCGATGATTATCTCTTGTCTCTCGTCTCTGACTCTACTATTTTTACTCTACTCCTTCAACTTTTTAATAACTACTATATCACTATATAATCAACTATAACCTATGACAATATATCTCCTTCAAAAAGCTCGCTAGACCCTTTCTTAAATGATATTATCCAATTAAATGTGTTGTCTATCTAAACGATTTCTTAAGTTCAAATATATATTTAAATATTGAAATTATATGGGGCTTTAAGTTTATATTAACTATAAATCTTACTGCTTTCAAGTCTCTCTCTATTTTCTTGATTCATATTCCTTCTCTTCTATAAAAAGCCCTTTTTTGAAAGCCTTTTTCAATTATAATTTTATATTACCATTGCCGACTTCTTTATCTTTTAAACCTTGAACTTTAATTACTGTAACTCAATCCTGGCCGATGATTTTAATTTTCTTAAAAATCTTATTGCAAAAGAACCATAAGCTACGAGAAAATATTTGAGTTGATAAGGAATAGTTCGGAAGGTTTCAAGTTTTCTTAGGGAGAGAAATCTTAGTTATTTTAGAATGATTTCTTTAGGTACTAAGGAATTAAGTATGAAAAATAACAATATAAATTAAAGATGAACCGGAGCCCATTCGAGATACTTAGATATCCTATAGCATAGCTGTTCACAGAGTTCCCAGAGGTCGCTTCTAAGGACCCTCAAGTGCACTGTGTGGGCAGCTCTGTCTAAAAGATTTCCCCTCAAACCTATGAAGTACCAAAAAAAACGAAAAACCCCCCAAAACATTTTCCAGTTGAAGAGCACACTTTGGGGGCCACCACGCCGATTTCCCTAACGGCCAGCGAACCTGGACCGCCTGGAAGCAATGGAAATCCAAATCTGAGCTCAGCAGCCGGCGGCATGGGGCGTTTCCTAACGGTGCCCAGTGGAAAACCCAGCAACAGAGCGCTCGGTAAAGAATCCCAAGACCAAAGTCAAAATCCAACCAACTAAAGAACTGATCGTGTTTCGTTATTGTTTAATGATTGATTTTTGCGTGTCTGTTAATCGTTTAAATAGTCCTGATATATATATTGAATATACGTTTGGTAGTTTGCAGTTTTGTAAATAGAATTGGTTGAAGAAAAGGATAAACGACGGAGAAATTTGCATGAAGGTTGAAATGGTTAATCAGAATTGAAAACTCAGGGATTGGTTCTGAAGAAGAAATTAAAAAAAAAACCCCAAAGAAAAAGAAAATACCATCCACACACATTTGCACGCTTGTCACCTAACCACACACACTTTTCAAAACTAACTTTCCAACTTGATATATATTTTGCATGCTTCATTATCTCAGTATTTCAACCGAATTTGAACAATCTATTGCAGCATCTTTTAGCCGAAATCCGAATTTAATCCAATATCTCTCTTTTGCACTTCTTTTTTCGTATGTTTTTTTTATGTTGTATCGTTTGTAACGTGTTGTTCTTATTATTGTTGTAATACCTATCAACGCACGTACCCCAAAAAAATTAAATATATAAAATACAAACACGATACCAAAAACCTGCACCCCGTGATACCAAAAAAACAACCCTGCAAAAACGATATATCCCGACTAATGCAGAGAAAAAATCTAATTCTAAAAAATCACGACCTGCACAAAACCTGCCGGTGATCACAGAGGACATGGTCAAGAGTCCCAGCAATCAGTCCATGGCCAGGCCAGGAAGCGGCACCGAGCTGAACGAGCAGCAGCACAAGGGGAATACCCATTTTATGCGCAAGATACCGCCAGGAGCGGAGGCCAGCAACATCCTTGTGGGCGAGGTGGACTTCCTGGAGCGAACACTCTCCTGCTTCATCCGCCTGAGCACGGCGGCGCTCATGGGCGATCTCACCGAGGTGCCAGTGCCCACCAGGTGAGCTCATCTCAAAGGATTTGAATTTAGTTACCTAAAATAACTCTTAACTCTTTTACAGATTCATCTTCATCCTGCTTGGCCCGCCAGGCAGTCAGAGCAACTTCCATGAGATTGGCCGTGCCATGGCCACCCTAATGTCCGATGAGATCTTCCACGAGGTGGCCTACCGTGCGAGGAAGCGGGATCACCTGCTGGCCGGTGTGGATGAGTTCCTGGATGCTGTCACTGTGCTGCCGCCCGGCGAATGGGATCCCACCATTCGTATTGAGCCACCGGCGGCCATTCCCTCCCAGGAGGTGCGTAAGCGACCACCAGAGTTGCCCAAAGAGGAGGTGGACGAGGAGGAGGAGGAGCAGCGTTTGAGGGAGGAGTCCGGTTTGTCCCGGACAGGTCGTCTCTTTGGCGGTCTCATCAATGATGTTAAACGGAAGGTGCCCTGGTACATTAGTGACTACAAGGATGCGTTGTCCATGCAATGCGTTGCCTCCTGGATCTTCCTGTATTTCGCCTGCCTCTCCCCGATCATTACGTTCGGAGGTCTCCTGGCGGAGGCCACTGGCAAAAACATGGCTGCTATGGAGTCTCTGGTGTCCGGGTTCGTCTGTGGCATGGGGTATGGCTTCTTTTCGGGCCAGCCGCTGACAATTCTCGGGTCCACCGGTCCAGTACTGGTCTTTGAGTCAATTATCTATGAGTTCTGCCTGAAGATGGGCTGGGAATATATGACTTTCCGGTTCTGGATCGGCATGTGGGTCGCCGGCATTTGCATCGTCCTGGTCGCGATTGATGCCAGTGCCCTTGTTTGCTACATAACCCGCTTCACCGAGGAGAACTTTGCCACATTAATTGCCTTCATTTTCATCTACAAGGCCATTGAGAATGTGGTCGTTATTGGAAAGAACTTTCCGGTTAATCAGGGGATATATGACTGTGTCTGTACCCCGCCAATTGGGAGCAATGCCAGTGTGGTGGATTATGCCAAGTATAATTGGGATTATTGTGAGGTAAGTAAATTAATAGACAATCCTAGACAATCATTCTCTTAATCACGCTTATTATAAATATCTCCTTACTTATTTATGTAGTCCTACAACGGCACCCTGGTTGGCGGAGATTGCGGAACGCCACCCACCGAGAACGTCTTCCTGATGTCGGTGGTTCTCTGCACCGGCACCTTTATAATCTCCACCATCCTAAAGGATTTCAAGAACGCCCTGTTCTTCCCCTCCATTGTCCGGCAGTATATTAGTGACTTTTCCGTGCTGATCGCAATCTTTGCCATGAGCTTCTTTGACTATTCCTTGGGAGTGCCCACCCAGAAGCTGGAGGTTCCCAATGAGCTGAAGCCCACGCTGAGCACACGTGGCTGGCTAATCCCACCGTTCTCGGAGAAGAATCCCTGGTGGTCACCAATCATAGCCGTATTTCCTGCCCTGCTTGGAACGATCCTGATCTTTATGGATCAACAGATCACCGCCGTTATTGTGAATCGTAAGGAGAACAAGCTGAAGAAGGGCTGCGGTTACCATCTGGATCTGTTTATCCTGTCCATTCTGATTGCCATTTGCAGCTTGATGGGTCTGCCTTGGTGAGTTGCTAACTTAAACTAAGGAAATGTTTTGTTTTAATGGATTTCTAATGAATCTGTCATATTTTTCACAGGTTCGTGGCTGCCACAGTGCTGAGCATTAATCACGTGAACTCACTGAAGCTGGAATCTGAGTGCTCGGCTCCTGGCGAGAAGCCACAGTTCCTGGGTGTGCGCGAGCAGCGGGTAACCCACATCCTGATCTTCCTGACCATTGGTGTTTCGGTGCTTTTGACCCCGCTGCTCGGTCACATTCCCATGCCGGTTCTATTCGGTGTTTTTCTGTATATGGGAGTGGCCTCGCTCAAGGGTTTGCAGTTCTTTGATCGCATACTAATCATGTTCATGCCGGCCAAGTACCAACCGGATTATATGTTCCTGCGACAGGTGAGTTGGGTTTTTACTTTAATCTTAAGTCTTTAATAGAAACCCAAATATGTACTTGTTTCTTAAAAACCTTCTTCCTGGTAATTATATCTTTTTATTATATCTTTTCCTTACAGGTTCCCATCAAGCGTGTCCACTTGTTCACCATTATTCAGCTGGCCTGTCTTATTATTCTCTGGCTGATCAAGTCCTTTTCCCAGACCTCCATCCTGTTCCCCCTGATGTTGGTGGTGATGATTGGCATACGAAAGGCTCTGGATTTGGTATTTACACGTCGCGAGCTTAAGATCCTAGATGACATAATGCCGGAGATGACGAAGAGAGCGGCGGCAGATGATCTGCACAAACTGGACGCTGAGGTGGGCTTATTGGCGAAAATTTTCCCTTGGGGAAAGGGTCGCAACGGCCGGGTGGTGACCAAGTCACCGGTCGAAGGTGGTGCTGGCGGTGGGGGCAGTGCCGTTGGCCTTGGGCTCATTAGCTGCTCAACCTCAAATGCAAATGAGAAGGAGTTCGAGGCACAAAGCAGTCTGCTTAAGAAATAGACACTCCAACAACACCAACACCCCATCCCAAGCACAAAAACACACACAATGCCACCCACTAGCACACAATCTGCAACACACACCAAAAAGCAAAGAAAAGAAAATCCCACGGACCAGTGCTGCCCATTTCATTTGCGTTTGCAGTGCTGCCCAGTCAACCGCACAAAGCCATCGATCAGCGATCGATGGTGCTTCCAATACCGATGAACTCAATTATTCATAGATTTTTTTTGCATTGATTTAATTGCATTTTGTCGGTCTTGAAACATTTCTTCAACTACCAACTATATAGCTATATAACCCATGTATATGCATAATTCTCTGTTATATATACTATACGTTTTTTATCATGTCTTTAACAGTATTTTGTAAATGTTTTCCCCCCTTGTGTCCCATTTTAATTTAATCCTATATATGGCATGTCGCTATTTTTGCATTTTGTTTATATATATTTTTGATCAACGTTTTTAAAATATTTTTTATTTCGATCCTAAGCTTTTAGACCACCTGTAAATGCCAAAACCCACAAAAAACAAAACAAAAACAAATGGAAATTATGTGTTTTTTCGTAGTGCAAACCAAAATGTGTTACCTATCCGAACCTACTCTAAAAAAGAAACTACTCTTACCCTTTATATATATACATATATCTATGATATTTATAAATGTAAATGAAATTCTAGAATAAGTCATAATTAGTCAAGCGTTTACACTGTACAACAAGTACCTAAATGTATTAAATGGAACCTGTTATGTTATTTTATAGTCATCGGGTTGAAATTTCAAGTAACTAACTAGCGACATAAAAAACACAACTAATTGTAGCGAAAATTGATGTAAAAAATTCATAGGCAAAATTCCAAAATGCAAAAACACAAAACAAAAATAAAACAAATAAAAAATTCAATTAAAAAACAATTGGCATAAGTCGAAAATTTGAACACACTTTCACCATGATTGGCATTTTTTGACACTTTTACACACAATCTAACACCTTTTTTGAAACACATCCATTTATTTAGCGAGCTCTGTCTACTACTTCGCCTCTATCTCTCTTTCACCTTTGCAACATTAGACCATTAGAAATGCTATATCTATCCCTGTGTGATTCCCCTCTTCCTGAGCTAATTTTTGGTCCCAAAAACTATGCAGCTATGTGCAAATTTTTACATTGAAGGACAATCATCATCAGCATCCCCCGGGAGCTGGTACTGGGACAAACTACAATGCCAATCAATCGGGTCCAACCACCATTCACATTCCCCTTTCGGGAAATAAGCCCGGCAGCGGTAACACCAACAATGGACCCACAGTGAACATTCCCCAGGATCGATCTACAGTCTGGCAACAGATCAGCAAGGATGGCAATGGCATCTCGGATCAATTGATTATTCCTGTCACCGTTAAAGTTCGTCAAATCAATGGCAATCAGTAAGTGTTCCCAGTAGAGAGAGAGTCCCCCTTCTTATGACATTCATTCAGGAATCTTCTCATAAACTGCTAGAATTTATGATCGCTCTTCTGTATATAAACATCCTGATCCTTTCTTTTCTATCTACTCATTATATTCATTAATCGCAGTCAGTTTTGGAATGAAAGCTTGCTGAATTATATCAATATCAGCTTATAGATTTCCTTAGAAGGATTATATTGAATTTGAAAATGATGTATTCAACGGATAATTATGTCATATGACTCATTTTGAGCAAATTGATGAAGGTCCATTTGATCTTAAATATTTCTAAAATTTAAATTTAAGATGAACATATCTTTTGCTAAAAGAAGATTTTCAAATCATTTAAGAGGCCACTTATGTATATAAACATAATCATTCAGCCACTGATCATTGGCTAAAATTTTCGATTTTATATTTTTAACTCAAACACGAATTCATGATTTTATTTATTAAATTTATTTATTGATTTCGAGTATATCGAACTATTAAATCATTCATGCTCGTCTTCGCATTCCCCTCATGCCTCCAACTCTCTACAGTGCGCCCCCGAATGCCACTCTTTCGCCACGCCTATCGCCCATGCACGAGGCGGATGAGTACAGTGAAGCCATGACGAATCCTGCAGGAGCACAGCTGCAGCAGCCACAACAAATCAGCAATTGCAAGGAGGCGGCTGCCAGGCTAGAAGGATCCTCCTCCTCCATAGTCAACAGCCAGGTGCCGGGTCCAGCCAACATAACGCCAGTTTAAAAAGGATTCACAGGACAAACAAAACAAGCACAAAAAGAACCCACGCACAAAACACACACATCTATATATATTTGTAGTTGGTCATTCACAGCCGCCGTATCATAATCTCTATTTACTATAATCTCTAATACCGTAGAAGTTTTTCCAAAGGACGTTTTTTAGCTGTGCCAGTAGAGGGTTGTTTGCATTTGAGTTTTTTTTGGGGGCTCAGGTACCAGTTATATACAAGTATTACTTATTTTATAAAACAACAAACAACCAAAACCATTCCAAATATATACACTTTTGAAACGAATTTTATAGTGTCAATTCCGCAGACAAAGACTAGAGTAGCGAGGAGAAGCCACAGAACAGAATCTCCATCGGTACTCCGATGTTTTTCCACCTACACATTTTCCTACTATTCCCCGACTTTGACTTGGTTAGCTATATGTGGGGTTTTATTAAACTGTGATCTGATGGTATATATCTTGGGGGCGCGGGTTGTATAAGAAGGGGGAAGTATCATTTAGCCTAGCCAAGACAGAGCTGTAAACAATTTGTATTATATTTTATGCATTACACTAAGTTTGAAACCAAAAACAAACACACAACATCCTATCCAAAACATACACAAACAAAAATCTATATAAATAAAAGTATATACAAATATAACAAATATTGAATAAAGAAGCAAACAATTAAGCTGCTAAACAAAAAAAAGTGAAAAACCAAATCCCTGTATTTTTCATTTTATTACTTTTGGTATTTTGCATCGTTCGTTTTCAGTGTATTTTGTGAATAGTTGTGAGTGTTGAGTGTGGCACCTACTGCTTCCAATTCTATATCTCTGAACGTTCATATATATAGCACCAAAATCGAGTTCTGCCTGTCTTCCATAAAAATCAGAATCATAATGATTTCGAATCAGAGTTTAAAGTTTTATAAATTCTGTATCAGATTTTAAATGTATATATCTACTTTTGATACGCTTCAAACTCTGTTTCAAAAAATCAAAACCTTCATAGCTCTATTAGCATCGTGTTAGACATCTGTATGTGCATCTTTACCATATATCCCCGATTTAAGCTGTACGTAAATAAATAGTTAAGAGACTAGGTTATTTTTTGGCATTAAAAATCAATAGATCATAGTTATTAATTTTATATTTCACTATTGCAGAACCCAAAATTTAATACGTCGAAGCAATTGTGGCGTGGATATCTTACACCAACAGAAACATCCGTTTGAGTCAATGATTTAATTACATTTTTTATCATAAATTTGTGTACCTGTATAACAATTATATGTGTGTGTCTATAATCCGTATAAAAACCTATAATGTCTGTATGTACCACCAACCGTCCCATTTTGCGTATATAATATATCCTCAATGTGCGAATTGGCACAAAAATGAATTGCCTATCAACATATCAAGAAATAACTCCGAAAACCAATCTTGTAATCGTATTACCTCCCTACTAAAGGAATTTGTTGAAATATAAATGTAATATATAAAATAAAGTTTGATTATTTTGAGAGGGAAACTGATTCGTTTTAATAGAGTCGATCAAGGTAAGTGTTTCTAGTTTAAATTAATTTATTGTTACTAAATAAATAAAAATATATATTTAATGATGAAACTGATTAAATATGTTTCCTCAAACAAAGTTATAAATAAATTTATGAAAATAAAGTCATATTTTATTTATTGAGCTGAATTTTATTATTGTACAATTACTGTAGTATAGCAACTTTTTTACAATAGTGAGGGGAGAAGTTCAATGGAAAATGGAAGGAATGTCCGGGGTGACCATGCTACTTACTACCGGGACTCGAACCCGGACCGGCAGTGCTACGGACATAGGAACAATCGGGCAATTTATAGATCTATGATCAGTAATTAACTATAACCAGTAATCAACTATGAGCAGCAAGTAACTATAAGCAGTGAGAAACTCTGAACAATAAATATATATGACCAGTAAGTAACTATGATCAGTAATTAACTATGACCAGTAATTAACTATGAGCAGCAAGTAATTATGAGCAGTAATTAACTCTGAACAATAAGTATCTATGACCAGTAAGTAATTATGATCAGTAAGTATCTATGACCAGTAAGTAACGATGATTAGTATGTATCTATGACCAGTAAGTATGTATGATCAGTTACTCACTTTGAACACTAATAAACAATGACTTGCAACTTTTGAAACAACACATTTCTGAGACTTGACCGGCAGCAGTCACTTCGTTCCGGGGGTGTTAGAACAAGTTGAGAATCATATGCACAAGTGTGAGAGATTTGTTTTGGAACAAATTCAAGAGCAAGCTATTTGAATTAAGCTATGTAGTGGATCTTCTATATACTTTTACAAGTTTATAAATCGGAGCATGCCAAATCGGCACTCTGAACAATAAATATATATGACCAGTAAGTAACTATGATCAGTAATTAACTATGACCAGTAATTAACTATGAGCAGCAAGTAATTATGAGCAGTAATTAACTCTGAACAATAAGTATCTATGACCAGTAAGTAATTATGATCAGTAAGTATCTATGACCAGTAAGTAACGATGATTAGTATGTATCTATGACCAGTAAGTATGTATGATCAGTTACTCACTTTGAACACTAATAAACAATGACTTGCAACTTTTGAAACAACACATTTCTGAGACTTGACCGGCAGCAGTCACTTCGTTCCGGGGGTGTTAGAACAAGTTGAGAATCATATGCACAAGTGTGAGAGATTTGTTTTGGAACAAATTCAAGAGCAAGCTATTTGAATTAAGCTATGTAGTGGATCTTCTATATACTTTTACAAGTTTATAAATCGGAGCATGCCAAATCGGCGGACTATATATAAACATATATGTATATAGCAGACATAGTAACAATCGAACAATTTATAGATCTATGATCAGTAATTAACTATGACCAGTAATTAACTATGAGCAGCAAGTAACTATGAGCAGTAAGTAACTCTGAACAATAAATATCTATGCCCAGTAGGTAACTATGATCAGTAATGAACTATGACCAGTAATCAACTATGAGCAGCAAGTAACTATGAGCAGTGAGTAACTCTGAACAATAAATATCTATGACCAGTAAGTAGTTATGATCAGTAAGTATCTCTGACCAGTAAGTAACTATGATTAGTATGTATCTATGACCAGTAAGTATGTATGATCAGTTACTCACTTTGAACACTAATAAACAATGACTTGCAACTTTTGTAACACAAAACATTTCTGAGACTTGACCGGCAGCAGTCACTTCGTTCCGGGGGTGTTAGAACAAGTTGAGAATCATATGCACAAGTGTGAGAGATTTGTTTTGGAACAAATTCAAGAGCAAGCTATTTGAATTAAGCTATGTAGTTGATCTTCTATATACTTTTACAAGTTTATAAATCGGAGCATGCTAAATCGGTGGACTATATACATATATACATACATATAGCTGACATAGGAACAATCGGACAATTTATAGATCTATGATCAGTAATTAACTATCACCAGTAATTAACTATGACCTGTAAGTAACTATGAGCAGTGAGTAACTCTGAACAATAAGTATCTATGACCAGTAAGTAGCTATGATCAGTAATTAACTATGACCTGTAAGTAACTATGAGCAGTGAGTAACTCTGAACAATAAGTATCTATGACCAGTAAGTAGCTATGATTAGTAATTAACTATGAGCAGCAAGTAATTATGATCAGTAATTAACTCTGAACAATAAGTATCTATGACCAGTAAGTACCTATGATTAGTAAGTATATATGACTAGTAAGTATATAAGACCAGTAGGTATGTATGATCAGTTACTCACTTGGAACACTAATAAACAATGACTTGCAACTTTTGCAACACAACACATTTCTGAGACTAACTATGAACAGTAATCAACTATGAACAGCAAGTAATTATGATCAGTTATTAACTCTGAACAATAAGTATCTATGACAAGTTAGTAACTATGATTAGTATGTATCTATTACCAGTAAGTATGTATGATCAGTTACTTACTTTGAACACTAATAAACAATGACTTGCAACTCTTGTAACACAACACATTTCTAAGCACAGGTTGAGAAACATCGATGCGAACATCGATGACATCGATGTTTTTAAAACATCGGCAACATCGATGCTTAGCGGGGCAACATCGATGTTTTTCCAATACTTCTGCGTTCCCGCAACATCGTACGAATCTGATGAATACTATATAGCTGCCACACAAACGAAAGTTAAAAGCACAGGAAAATGCAAAACGGTGAATGTAAAACTGTAAATATAAAATGTTTAGGTGTATAAATTTAAATTAAATTTCAACGAAACTTATTTTCAGTATATTTTTGGAACAACTCGGTGGTATATTTTGGCGGTCTCCGCCTTGGTCACACTGGTTTGGTGGCTGTGTCCCTCGTGCGCGTGTTTTTTATTTAAATCCCGATTTATTAATTAAAAACTAGCCAGGATGTCGCTAATTACACGACTGCTGACCGGGAACAATGCCCTGCGAGTAAGAGCATTGGAAACTCTTGGCAAAGTAAGTTGGATAAATTAAAACGAGACAAAAACCAACTGTGCGTTATGTAATTGTTAGAAAAGCAAATAATATTGATATAATTATTACCTTGCAGGCCGGCTACAGTTCGCATGCCAAGTTCTCGGAGCATAAACCGATCGAGAAGATCCGGAATATAGGAATATCGGCGCATATAGACAGCGGTAAGACGACACTGACGGAGCGGATACTGTTCTACACGGGACGGATTGCTGAGATGCACGAGGTGCGTGGAAAGGACAATGTAGGAGCCACTATGGACAGCATGGAGCTGGAGAGGCAGCGCGGCATCACCATCCAGTCGGCTGCCACCTACACCCTGTGGAAGGACACCAATATCAATATCATTGATACACCGGGACATGTCGACTTCACCGTGGAAGTGGAGCGTGCTCTTCGTGTTCTGGACGGTGCTGTGCTGGTTCTTTGTGCCGTCGGTGGAGTTCAGAGCCAAACCTTGACCGTCAACCGGCAAATGAAGCGATACAATGTCCCGTGTCTGGCCTTCATCAACAAACTGGATCGCCTGGGCTCGAATCCCTACAGAGTCCTGTCCCAAATGAGGTCCAAAATGAACCACAATGCTGCATTTATCCAGCTGCCCATCGGTGTGGAGAGCAATTGCAAAGGAATTGTGGATCTGGTTCGGGAACGTGCAATATATTTCGAGGGCGAGCATGGAATGAATGTGAGGCTGGATGAAATACCGCAGGATATGCGAGTGGAGAGCCAGGAAAGGAGGCAGGAACTCATTGAACATCTCTCCAATGCCGATGACACCTTTGGAGAATTCTTCCTGGAGGAGAAACCCTTCACGGAGGATGACATGAAGGCTGCCTTGCGGCGAACCTGTATCAAAAGGACCTTTACGCCAGTGTTGGTGGGAACTGCCCTTAAAAATAAGGGCGTTCAGCCTCTCCTTGACGCTGTACTCGATTACCTGCCCCATCCCGGTGAAGTTGAGAATCTGGGCTTCATCGAAAAGGAGGGACAAGAAGCTGAGAAAATAGTCTTGAACCCAGCTCGTGATGGCAAAGACTCGTTTGTGGGCTTGGCCTTCAAACTGGAAGCTGGACGCTTTGGCCAACTGACCTACCTCAGGTGCTACCAGGGTGTGCTCCGGAAGGGTGACAACATCTTCAATGCCCGCACCAACAAGAAGGTTCGAATCGCTCGTCTAGTCCGTCTTCACTCGAACCAAATGGAGGATGTGAACGAGGTTTATGCCGGCGATATTTTCGCCCTTTTTGGAGTAGATTGCGCCTCCGGTGACACCTTCACCACCAATCCCAAGGACAACCTGGCTATGGAATCAATTTTCGTACCCGAACCTGTAGTTTCAATGGCCATAAAACCGAACAACTCCAAGGATAGAGATAACTTCTCAAAGGCCATAGCTAGATTCACCAAAGAGGATCCCACTTTCCATTTCTTTTTCGACAACGATGTCAAGGAAACCCTCGTCTCAGGAATGGGTGAATTGCATTTAGAAATCTATGCCCAGCGTATGGAGAGGGAATACGGTTGCCCAGTGACGCTGGGTAAGCCTAAGGTGGCATTTAGGGAGACACTGGTTGGGCCCTGCGAATTCGATTACCTGCATAAAAAACAATCTGGAGGTTCGGGTCAATATGCCAGGATTATTGGAGTCATGGAACCACTGCCGCCCAATCAAAATACCCTCCTGGAATTCGTCGACGAAACTGTGGGCACAAATGTGCCAAAACAATTTGTTCCTGGTGTTGAAAAGGGTGAGAACTAATTTACAATTGAATAATTTACTATACCTTATAAATTATATTTTGTTCTTAAGGTTACCGCGAAATGGCTGAGAAGGGAATGCTGTCGGGTCACAAGCTATCTGGCATTCGGTTCCGCCTCCAGGATGGTGGTCACCACATTGTGGACTCCAGTGAATTGGCCTTCATGTTGGCCGCTCACGGTGCCATCAAGGAAGTCTTCCAAAACGGCAGTTGGCAGATCTTGGAACCCATTATGCTGGTGGAAGTCACCGCTCCTGAGGAATTCCAGGGCGCTGTGATGGGTCACTTGAGCAAGAGGCATGGTATTATCACCGGAACGGAGGGAACCGAAGGCTGGTTCACAGTCTATGCTGAGGTTCCTCTCAATGATATGTTTGGCTATGCCGGAGAGCTGAGGTAAGAGGATAAACTAGTGCTCTTATTTTAATTATATTAAATGCTGTTTGTTTATGTTTTTTAGATCGAGTACCCAAGGCAAGGGAGAGTTCACCATGGAGTATTCTCGGTACTCGCCCTGCCTTCCCGATATCCAGGAACAGATCGTCCGCCAATACCAGGAATCCCAAGGCTTGGCTCAGCCCGACAAGAAGAAAAAGAAGAACTAAATCAATATTGTATAGTTATAGTTTTAAGCAAACTCACCCAGAGTTACCATCTCTATTTTTGCTTAGTTAAATTTTATTTAATTTCAAAGTTCTTCAGTTTTTACTGTGATAAATGCGACTTATACAGTTTTTGTATAATAAAGGAAGACGAAACAAGAATTGAAACAGTTTATTTCAATTTAATTTATTTTCAACACAACTAAATATATAAATAATATTTTATAAAAATTAAATTTTATTTCAAAATTCTTCAGTTTTTACTGTGGTAAATGCGACTTATACAGTTTTTGTATAATAAAGGAAGACAAAACAAGAATTAAAACAGTTTAATTTATTTTCAACATAACTATATATATTTTATAAAAACTCCTTTTTTAATTTTAAAAACGTTATTTCTTTACTTCAGTTTTAGTATTTTACATTTACTTTACATTCCCGTTCACGTAAGTGTGACCAGCTGTCGCAAGAAAAAATACATTCTTTACGGATAAATGCCAGACTAATGAACGGTTACACTAAAGTAAAAGCAAATTGCAACAACAAACAAACAAAATTTTTCTTGCGAGCGGTTGAGCCGCGGACGGTTTTCCCTTCAAAACTCGCAGAAAATATGCAAACACAGGCGAGATAAAAGGAAAACGCTCATCAGGGACACGGCGCCGGAAGACGGGCGGAAAGCAGACGCAGACAGCGCGGCGAACGAAAACAATTAGCGACCGAATTATAGTATTTCGTAAAATTTCCGGATCCGACAACAACAAATTTAACTCAATTAAAAGGCAGCGAAGAAAATGCAGAGAACACAAATGAAATGCAAGTGATGTTGTTGGGTTTGCGTGGAAATGGAGCGAATTGTGATAGCACCGTTTTCCTTGTTCCGAGTTTTCCGCTGCCAGAAATGTGTGCGCAGGAAAATTGCTGACAATTCATAGAAAGGCAACACAAAAAGAAAATACAAGAGGGGCGCGCGCGTTTTTCGGGGAAAATTCAATACAAAACGCGGAAAGCAAAAAAAGAAAAACAACAAAAAATCGCAAAAACATACGAAAAATAAAAGAAAAAGTGAGAGAGAAAAATAAATATCTAACGCACGTCTACCTGTGTGTCTCTGTGTGTGTGTGATTGTGGGTGTGCGGCCTCTCAAGTGTGTGTGCGTGTGCAAAAGAAAAAGATCAACGCGAGCCAAGAGCGACAACAACAAGAATAACAATAACAACACACAGCTGACTTCCTCTTCTTTACCTTCCTGCGTACACTGTTCGAAATAAAATAATGCAAAACAACGACAACTTCCAAAACGCCGGCTTCTTAACAACCATCAACTAGTCAACAAATAAATACAAAATTAATTAATATAAATAAAACAAACATATCCGTCAGCACAACTAATAACAATTTGAAACTAAACTACATACACCAAATTTATATAGTATAAAAGGTTCAAATAAATAAATCAACATGGATTGGATCATCAACGATGAAATGGGCCTCACCGTGGGCCATGTGGTCGGCTGGGCCGCCGCCTCTGCCATGGTAATCGGGGGCGTCATCCCCTATGTACCGCAATATATAGAGATCAAGAAGACGCAGGATGCGGATGGATTCTCGCTATATGTGTGTCTAGCGTTGCTGGTGGCCAACTCACTGAGAATACTCTTCTGGTAAGTCTAGATCCTTACTTTAAATTAACATATATATATAATATAAAAACCTTAGAAGGTTAAAGCAGGGATTGACTAGATTTTATTTTATTCAAAATCTTCTAAGAAAAGTAAATATTGCTCTTACAAAATGTAGCAAAAATTTTAATATGAAATTATACATATGTATATTTAATAGATTCTAAAATATTATATTAGATTATTTGCCTTGCAGTGTATTATTATTTTTGTCTAATCAATAATTTATTCTAACACTTAAAATGCTTAAAATTAGAAATGCGCCTATTTTGGATACTTTTCTTTGATGCCATTCCAATATCCAATTCAGCTAAAAATAATACAGTTTCGCTTCCTTGAACAAATAAATCAATCATCAAACAATATTGTAGATATTTCATTATTCTTGATTTTAAAGATCTTAGAAAGAATGAGCTTTCATGATATAATTTAAAGTTGTTTTTCATCAACCAAAGTTCTCTATACAAAGCTATGAAAGTATTTTAAAATCATAGATTTCCCATTTATAAAAGTGTAAAAATATTACTCTTTCCAAAGACTATTTTGACAAGAAATGTACCTGAATAGTAAATCGTACAATTCTACATATATATTGTTAAGTACATACCACCGTTAGATCTGAAATACCTGCAAATACTCTCACTCGCACATTCTTACCTGGCGAGATGACTAAACCCCTCTCTGCAAACACCTCGTATCTCGGCTTATCTAAAAGGGGGTTATACAAACTGGGCTTATCGCCCGGAATTCTCTCGTGGCCTGTCGCGACTTTATTTTACGGCTGCCACCTCTTGAGACCACCCCCTGTCTGGGTATAGCTTCGTCATGATTTCTGGCCGATTTCGTAGACTATAGATCGCGTTTGGAAATCGTTCAAGGACTGTTGGACTGGGAGGGTTTTATCTTTATTGCATGGCCTGCGATATGATATTTGGGCACAATGTCATCGATAATCGGTATTTTCGCTTGGTTTTATGACAATTAATGAGAAGATTTATCAGCTCTCATGCTGATTGGGAGAAATGATTCCCGGGGAACTGATGTTTTCAGTGGAATATATGATTGATAACACAATCTAAATGTTTTTTTTTATAACCGCAACCAATGATGTTAGTTACTAGAGTCATGATGCTAATTTCATAAACAACGCCTGATTTTTCATGGTTCTTTGTTTAATATTTCAAGGTTTGTTTTTTAGATACTTTTAAAGTTTCAGTTGTTAAAATTGATAATGTAATGTTATTAATTTGTGCCAAATTAAATGAATTTTGAACAGTAATTCCTTATGACTATGGAAATGTTTTGTCCGTCATAAAAAGTTGATTCATCATTTAGAGGGAGGGGGAGACTGATATGAATCAAGTTTAATGAAATAAATTTTTAATTCAATTTGAGTGAATGTGCAAAATATCTTTCAAAATGTCACAATGCCATTGAAACCAGATGAAACTGCTTTTAGCGCTCAAATAAACAAATATTAAATTGAATGTATTGCCTTTGAAAATGATTGAAACGTTTGTTATTGTTTATTGGGAACACACTTTGATATTAAAAATATATTTCAAGCATATGAATTTATGGAATTTGACCCACCTGATTCCGCTTTATTTTGAGGCTAACTCAGACCAGGGTCAACTTCTTTTGCCCAGCTGGTTTCTGTATTTTTTTACGTTTACGTTTTTTATGTTTACCCCTTCTGTTATGAGTTGTTTGAATGGCAACGCTTACGTTTCCTATAAATAAAATATTAACAAATCGAGTGAAATGTGAACGCATAAAAAAATATATACAAGGAGCAACTGGTGGCCCTCGTCTCTAGTAACGCCGTCAATTTGTCTGGCTAATCAATAAATTAATTATTTAGTTTGAAACTGTTGCCGGCTAGTAAAGTGAATCAGCTGTGTGTGCAATGCGTCCCAATAATCCCGATATACCCTATATATATTTTATTTTTGTTGTATATATAGACGTTTACGACTTCATGGAGAATTCATTGTGGGGAGGCGTTTAAATCGACACGCGATGAGTTTCAATGGGTTTTTGAGCAGTAAAAAAAAAAATACAACCCGGGGGTACTCTTTTAGTGCACGGAAAACCCCGATTTAAGGGCTAGAACAATGAAAGGAAGTTGTAATTAATTTATTTATGCCATTAGGAAGTGCATTCGGTAATTAGTAATTTTCTTGAACCAAGATAATTGTTATTATTTCGAGTAATTGCAGCTGTATTAGATAGAGTCCCCCTCTTACACCCACTGGCAAATTCCTTCCTGCAGTTAATTGCAACTGCAATTTGCACAAAAACACTTACACTATTTTTGTGTGTTTTTTTGTGGCTAGACAAGCCTCGTACAGCAATTGCAATTAATTATTAAACGTTCTAGAAATATAAACTCGTATATATACACAAGTTACACACTCGTACACGATGTTACTCTCGAGGGAAAAACTTTCCGAACAAAGAGAACAAGATAGTGAACAGAATGACACATCCCTCAGTCTTCATTATAAATAATTGTCAGTGTGCCTGCCTTTGTTGCTGATCGTGAATATATATACATATATGCATATTTAACAATGATTAAATCATGATTCGTTTTCACTTGTTACTCCCCATAGAATATCAATAATAACCGAAATTTATATATTTATATTTTATATTGGATAACTTTGAGAGCCCAAAATGATCTCATTGCTTGAAATATCAGTTTTTAAAATATTTTAATAGCTGAAAAGTTTATTTTATTTTTGGGTTTATAGTTCACTTTTATGATTACATTTTTGGAAATTATTTTCAAGAGCATTTGAGTGTCGCTGAAGGGTTGTAAATATTTATTTCTGGGAAAACATTCAGTGATTATCTTAACTTTTGAGTACTCAGTGACTGCAATCTGAATAAAATTTTACTTAGAAATGGTTTTTGAAAACTTTAAGTTATTTTTAAACTGTTTCCAAGCAAAGCTATATGAAACATAAAAAATAATCATGTTAATAAAAATAGGATCTCATTTTAAAGTTCCCAAATAAATGTATTAATTGTGATAAGCTTAGTAATATTTCAAAAACCTATAGATATATACAACTATCCTTTAATTAACCCATCAAAAGTAACTCAAAGTTGGCGTTAGATGTAGTTTCTTATAAATATATCAGAAATTCGTGAAGCGTAGTATATAAATATATATTTTCACCGAACTGAAGTTTATTTATTTGACCAGAGTCAACAAAGCGGAATCAGGTTTCCCTAAAAAGGTTTTCTTGGCAAAAATTATGACTCAATCGTTAGTTGGTCAGGTCAGTGGGGCGTGACTATACAAGTCTACGGCTTGGTTTAGAAAATGAATTATAATTTACACTTTCATATCCCGCATATAACAATAGATCGTACATATATGTGTATATATATATAAAGTATACAAGCTGCTAGTTCGACTCAGACAGTGGCCAGTCATAGTCATTTCTATATTTGTAATTTTCATGCCAACATTTGCTCAAATATTTACACAATTTGTCAGTGACTAGGGGAGGCGATCACACTTAACAAAATTGTAATTAAAATTTTTACTATTCAAAAATTTGTTAAATATTCATAAACTTATATTAGAGCTTAGGAACGTAATTACTTGAAATTGTTGCAAAACTTGTACATAAAAATAATTAAGCAAAACTTTTTATATTACAACACAACACGATATGAGGCTAAAGAGGGTTAAAGTGAAGGGTTAAGTTTGAGAACTTGGGGGTTCATTGAACTTTGTATATATATTTCAACACTCATAAGGCAATCAAGTTTCAGAGTTAAGGGAGAAGGGAAAAGTTGAGCAATCCGAAACAGTAATAATGTGAAAAATTGCTGACTAATTGGATTCTTCTGTTTAAAAATGTAATGATGAAATATGGCCTATTAATGAAAGCAATACTTAAAGAAACATTTAATTTAATGAGTAAATTATTGAAATTAAACAGAAACCAATTTGTTAAGCTAAAGCTGTATTGAAAATGTAATAGAACTACTCCTTTGTTATTTTCAATTGTATCTCCCAGCGAAACACTCGATTTCCTTAATTATTTGGTGTCGAAATACTTTACACAATCACTTCCCTTTGTGATAAGCAATCTGAACAACCAAGACACTATATAGAATATATAGAATGGAGTCGGTTGATTTCCTCTGCCTATCTGTAATGACACTTCCCATGCAATCTAGTTGCTAGTATCGCCTCATTTCCCAGTCCAAGTTTATGATGGTTTTGACTTCTACTTGGACTTGTTATTCTCTCTCATTTCTTATCAGTACTATTGTACCAGGGAACGCGTGTGTGGGTGTCAAGATAGTCCATGTCTCGCCATCAGGCGACTATGACTACTCCAACCAATTAATTTGTTTACGTAAAACTTATCAAAAGTAGTTGCTACTCTATACGTAATCCCTTGGATTCCCAGATATGACAGCAAAAAGATAATACATTTTGAATAGATATGATTATGGGGTATATCTACATATGACATTATTTCGTAATTTATAATTTGCTTATCAATGAAAAATAAGAATGGGAAGGCACTTTCTAATCTAATCAAACATTTTTTAAAATAATTTATTAAGCAAGTTTTCAACTTTCATTCACATTTATTTATACAAGATTTGGCCCACTTTCCTGCGGTATTCATTATTAATACTTATCATTAACTTTTGCCTCCCAAAAAAAGAGAAAAGCGTAATAATTTCCAAAAGCAAACAACTTTGTTGGACAGTTTCTCGCCGAAGGTCAAGGTTTTGTGGGTGGCAAGCAGGCAGCTTTTGTGGGAGGGAATATTCCAATTAATTTTTGGGGGTAGGTCTTATATATATATATATAAGTATATATATTCGCTGACCAAAAACCTGACTTGCGTATGGGCCCATAAATGTTTACGTTTTTTTTTGGTTGCTTATTTTCGCATCGCATGCAAATTAGATTTTTAGAAACTGGTTACGACCGCTGG